TTTTGCTGCTGGTCTGCAAAACCAAACCTGTTTCAGAAGTGGAGCGGTGAAGGAGAGGGGGGGAAGAGATGCGATGGCCGAGGAGCGCGGTGGTCCTTAGGGCGAGCACCCCGGAGAGCCGCGCTAGGGAAGTCCCGACGAGCGTCTCGGGGCTCGGGGGACGCTTCGGTCCCATCTCTTTCCTCTCCAAATAAAGACGACTGGAGGGTAGGGAGCTGTATCTCTTGCGGGCGTACCCGTTCGTGTAACGTTGCCTGCCTCCGGTGCTTCTGCTCGTCAGGGAAAGCTGGAAAATGCATGAGAGTTAAAGGCGAGGAGCTTCTGTCCAGAAAACTTTGTCCTTCTGCTCAGTGGGGTCTTGCGCCTGGACGGTGCACGAGTCGCTGAAGCAGTCAGCGGTGGCTGGTGGCGATGCCCGCGCTCGAGCCTCGCTTAGGCTCCGATCCCAACCAACCTCCCGTGGCTGTGAATTTGTGCGCCGAGGTGGATTTCGCTGGAGCTGCGGGGATCTGGGAGGGGGTATTAGGCTGCGTGGAGGAACCGGGATGCCGCGCTTCCTCGGACCCACTGTGAGATTTGTCACTGCAAAACCCGGTCGCTGCCGGGCCTGCGAGCGGCATCGCCAGCCGGCGGTTACACAAATTTGGGTGTTCTCGGGGGCAAGGCTGAATTTCCCGGCGCCCACCCGGCAGCGCGCCGAGCCGCGGGGCTTGGTGGGACTTCATCTCCGACTGCGGTGCGCGAGCAGCCCGAAACGCGGATGGCAGAAGAGGCAGCAGCTACAAACCCAGGATGAGTAAATTCTTCCATGGAAACACTTCTCCTTCTGATCCTTAATATTTTGGACGGGGTTTTTTTGTTGCTTTGGGAGGGGTGGGTGGGGATAGAGATGGATCTCAACCTTTATACATCTGCTATAAGATATTTTTGCAAACAGAGTTGTATACAAAGATGTATTGTGTACATTTACATGTATATTCTGGAACTTCTAAAATTTGAATATAAAACCTGAAAATATTTAATGAATATCCAAACTGTGAGACCCAATTAGCATTCAACAACTTTCTGCTTCACTTTTCTTTTGGACTGTGTTAAAGAATTGTAGTCGAATCTGCCTTTTTTTTTTTTTTTTTTTCCTTTAGAGATTATGAAGCTAGGCAAATTTTGTGCTTTTTGGGTTAATAGAAACCAGTTCTAGGTGATTAAGTATGATCTTAACTTATTGATACTGTGTTTTACTTTGTAATATTGTACTGTGGATAAAACTATATTGAGCCATGGAGTTGGAGTTTACAAAAGAGCTTTTCACTTTGCCAAAATGTTACAATTTAAAGGCAGCATAGTCTTCAGCTTTCCTAATCTTTTCTTAAGAGCTAGTGTCTTTTTTGTACACTAAAAAGCTGAATGCTGATTTTGCAACATATAATAAATTCACTGTATTGGAAAACAAGCAAACAATAAGGTTGTATATTTCTTTTCAGTGCTTCTTACTGTAAGAAGACTCAAAAGGGAAAGGTGATAAATGGCTGGCGCGGAGTTTGAAAGCAGGAAACTTAAAAGAATCGAGAGTCAGTTGAGTGCGGTTAAGTATCAGAGCAGTAGGTAAGAAACACGAGAAGGGAAAGGTGCTCGGCATCCATTTTCCGGCCGCTTGCTGCGTACAGGGAGAGCTCTCGCCCAGGAATGCTGCCAGGGAGCAGTCCCTCTTCGGGGAAGCTTTTCTGGTGCTCCGGTGGGATCGGCATCTCTGTGCGGCGGCAGGAGCTGGGGGTCTTCCCACCCCGATGGCATTAGCGCCTGGGGTTGGTTTTTTGGGGGGGAAAAGCTGCTTTTGAAGAGGCGCCCGTCGCT